TGACTTCAAATATTCCAGGCATTTACTACTTTTGACTCACTATTTGATGAACGACAAACCAAATTTCTTAAACATTTTGTATAATTAATTTGCAAAATGTTCAAACTATGATTCATATTCAATTTTCTTAAACCACGGTAGATTGTCAATTCCCACAGCTACCAGTGTAACAATTTACCATTGTTCAGATAAAGAACAAATTGAAAAATCAAATAACATAATAGCAGAAGATAAAACTATAGACCTCCACATGAGAAGGCAATGTATATCCTTACGAGATTCCAAGCATAAATAGCTTAGCAATGATACCAACTTTAACCTTACAAACTCGAACAAAATGATGATGTCTTGATTTTGAATCAAATTACTTCAACGAAGTTTTTCAATTTCTTTTTTGTTTATGTTATTTCCATTCAATTGAATAGCATTTAGAACCATTCCATCCAACCATATCACAAGAATATCAAAATATTAAGCATGTGAGGTTTACTAACCAGCAAAAGTGGCAAAACAGCAGGCACAAAGAGTGAATAATGTACTCACTTTCTCTCTCTCTCACTCTCACGCACAAACACAAGATGTAAACACCCGTTATTCATCAGCCATTGAAGAACAATGCATCTAAGACCAGCTTAAAAGACAATGTGACCATCAATATGATGATACTACCATGAGAGACTAACAATCTAACAATTACTTAAACTGGGGGGAAACGAGATTCTGTTTACTGCAACAACATGCTAAGTTTAATTTAAACACTTACCATGTATTTAGTTCGAGAATTTGAGAGTAGATTTGGAAAGAGAAAGGGAAAATATATGTGAAATTAGGTGAAATGTAAGTATATTTTATTTACATTTCACCTATATTTTTCTTTTTTCATTCCAAATCCCTTCTTAAATCTTTCAACCAAACACAACGTTATAAATTGATTCAACATAAATGATTGTGACAAGGTTCTAAAAAAGGCATAATTGTTTCAACATCTAAGACATCTTAAACCGGGGATAAAATTTCAACGAAATGATAAGACATACTGAAACAAGGAATAAACTTTCAGTGAATTGAAAAGTACTAGAATAAGGACAGCAACAGTGGCTAACACCACTGCAAAAATTGTTGGTATTTTTTCATAAAAATACAAGACAAATACATAAAATAAATTAACTAGAAATAACAAAATAATTTTTTTATTTATTAAAGGATGAAATATAAATAAACAACACAACTAAATACAAAAATAAATTAGATTACATTACTGAAAGAGCAAATTATTAATATGGATAACTAAATATTAGAACTCGTCGAAGTAAATTAAATTCTGAAAAATTAAAGAACATATAATAAGAAAAGAAATAAACCGAAGCATGTGTGATACCATAGTTTCCTTAAAACAGATTCATTATCTCCCGATGGATGCTAGAGATACGCTGGCGTCTGTCTCCCAGGATACGATGGTCGAAACCAGCTAATACAGAAGTACTTTCTGAATAACTTCGACGAACTTGACAATGGATGCACTTTCTCTAACAAGAACCAAAGAAGAGGCTAACAAAAGAAGATAGGAAAATTTTTCTTTAGTGTAAAAAAAAAACCATTTCCAACTTTTTATCTCAAAACACCATCTCATTTTCTATTACAAAACCTCTCTAAAAAACAACCTGCTAAGTTGGAGGAGAAAGACCACTATTTATACTAATAGGGGAGAGCCTTAGCCATGAAAACTAACATCAATGGGGTCATCAACTCTAGTCATTACGGCTAGAGTTACAAAGGTTCAAAACTCCAAAACCATTATATAAATCATAATGTGTATATAATGTATAAGTTTTGAGAATTAAACTAGATGAGTTGCAAAATGGATACGGGTGTTGGGTCACAACCTAATCCAAGCCCAATCTCAAACACATGCACAAACTAAGCCTAGGACAACTTAGCCCAAAGCTCAAAACTAGGTCTAAGTCCAAGTCTAAAACCAAACCCAGCACATGCACAAGTACAAGTCTAGGCCTAGTCCAAACCAAGACTAAGTCAAAATTTAAACTCAACTTTATTGATGTCTTCTTTATGAAACAATTTTCATTCACAACTCAATGGTTTCGGCTCATTATTTTGTATTGTAATATTCTTACTTAAGATAATACAAAACTACTCAGACCCATATCAACCGGCAGTTGAGTCTCACTTTAATTTCTAATTAAAGTTGCCAAAAACCCATTATTCTCCAACAATCCCCCACATGATTAAAATTGGCAGAATAAAGAAAAACGGACAATGCTTAACAACAAAGACTTTGAGGGAGAGAGAGCACACAGAATAACCTTGCATCAGAAAAAGTAGTTATTGGCCTTGAACCTTTTGTAGTGAAAGCTTATCGAATTTACTGGCTGACCAGTGAACATGATGTCTTGAACTATTTTGACGTTTAACTTGATCGTCGGAGGGTCTATCCGGCACACCACCGCCGGGCAGCTCACCGTTTCTGTGTTGCCAAGTAGACGCCGTCAAGAGAAGCTTGGAGTACAAGGAGTACGGAAAGCAGAGGATATTTCGCCCCGTACAAATATGATGATACTACCATGAGAGACTAACAATCTAACAATTACTTAAACTGGGGGGAAACGAGATTCTATTTACTGCAACAACATGCTAAGTTTAATTTAAACACTTACCATGTATTTAGTTCGAGAATTTGAGAGTGGATTTGGAAAGAGAAAGGGAAAATGTATGTGAAATTAGGTGAAATGTAAGTATATTTTATTTACATTTCACTTATATTTTTTCTTTTTTATTCCAAATATCTTCTTAAATCTCTCAACCAAACACAGCGTTATTCTAAAAAAGGCATAATTGTTTCAACATCTAAGACATTCTTAAACCGGGGATAAAATTTCAACGAAATGATAAGACATGACATACTGAAACAAGGAATAAACTTTCAATGAATTGAAAAGTACTAGAATAAGGACAACAACAGTGGCTAACACCACTGCAAAAATTGTTGGTATTTTTTCATAAAAATACAAGAAAAATATATAAAATAAATTAACTAGAAATAACAAAATAATTTTTTTATTTATTAAAGGATGAAATATAAAATAAACGACACAACTAAATAGAAAAATAAATTAGATTACATTACTAAAAGAGCAAATTATTAATATGGATAACTAAATATTAGAACTCGTCGAAGTAAATTAAATTCTGAAAAATTAAAGAACATATAATAAGAAAAGAAGTAAGCCGAAGCATGTGTGATACCACAGTTTCCTTAAACCAAATTCATTATCTCCCGATGGATGTTGGAGATACGATGGCGTCTGTCTCTCAGAATACGATGGTCGAAACCAGCTAATACAGAAGCACTTTCTAAATAACTTCGACGAACTTGACAATGGATGCACTTTCTCTAACAAGAACCAAAGAAGAGGCTAACAAAAGAAGATAGGAAATTTTTTATTTAGTGTAAAAAAAAAAACCATCTCCAACTTTTTATCTCAAAACACCATCTCATTTTCTATCACAAAACCTCTCTAAAAAACAACATGCTAAGTTGGAGGAGAAAGACCACTATTTATACTAATAGGGGAGAGCCTTAGCCATGAAAGCTAACATCAATGGGGTTATCAACTCTAGTCATTACGGTTAGAGTTACAAATGTTCAAAACTCCAAAACCATTATATAAATTATAATGTGTATATAATGTATAAGTTTTGAGAATTAAACTAGATGAGTTGCAAAATGGATACAGGTGTTCGGTCACAACCTGATCCAAGCCCAATCTCAGACACATGCACAAACTAAGCCTAGGACAGCTTAGCCCAAAGCTCAAAACTAGGTCTAAGTCCAAGTCTAAAACCAAACCCAGCACATGCACAAGTACAAGTCTAGGCCTAGTCCAAACCAAGACTAAGTCAAAATTTAAACTCAACTTTATTGATGTCTTCTTTATGAAACAATTTTCATTCACAACTCAATGGTTTCGGCTCATTATTTTGTATTGTAATATTCTTACTTAAGATAATACAAAACTACTCAGACCCATATCAACCGGCAGTTGAGTCTCACTTTAATTTCTAATTAAAGTTGCCAAAAACCCATTATTCTCCAACAATCCCCCACATGATTAAAATTGGCAGAATAAAGAAAAACGGACAATGCTTAACAACAAAGACTTTGAGGGAGAGAGAGCACACAGAATAACCTTGCATTAGAAAATGTAGTTGTTGGTCTTGAACCTTTCATAGTGAAAGCCTATCGAATTCACTGGCTGACTAGTGAACGTGATGTCTTGAACTATTTTGCGGTTTGTGTAAACCGAGACAATAAACTTCACACAAGAGTTACTTCAACCATTGTTTTTGTTCTCACTGGTGTGTCTAGTTTGGCCCTGGAACACTAGGTTAGTTCAGAGAATGTTTTTAAAGAATTCAGCCTCATCAATTCTTAAAGAAACGGCCCCACTTCACTACCTTGTATCATTGTGTACGTAACAAATCAAGGGTTGACACATATCATGCCACATCATTATGGGTATAATTGTAAGATCGTTTTGAGGTCTCAAACATTTTTCTTTAGGTAACTTTCTGACAATTACAAGAACCCTTCATGTGATTTCAATAATTATATTAATTTCTATTATTTTTTAAACTATTATCAAGAATGCCCCATTATTACCTTCTATTAGATTATTTAACAGAATTTGCTGATATCATGTTGATGTCACAGGTTATAATACTAAAAATGATGAAATTGCTCATTAATTACCTTATCATTTCAAATGAAAAATTATACTCACATCCCCTGAGGTTTTGCATATATCATCAAAGACTCATACATATTTCAGCATTATTTAATAAAATTCTTAAATTTCATGCAATATTAAATAAAATTCTTAAATTGTTAAATCATTATTAAATCATTTAATGGTAAAAAGAACTTAATTTTCATTGTTAAAATACTTAAAAATAAACAATCTCTTTAAAATACAAAATTATCTTACTTCTCCAAATATTTTTTCGACCAACACCTTTCAGGCTGTTTCCACTTTACTCCCCCCATACGAACCCTAATTCACTGTAATCACAATTCGTGGATATGCGAAAATGACGAAGAAAGCATACAGCAAAAGAAGAAGAAAGTCGATCATCGGTTCTACTTCATCGGAAAGCTCACAGGCGGCAGAAGAAGTAATTGCGAGCAATGAAGATCTCCTTACAGAGATTCTCTTACGCCTACCCGCCAAATCCCTAATCAGATTCAAGTCCGTCTCCAAGAATTGGCTCCATCTCATCTCCGATTCTCACTTTGCCGTCAACCACTTTCGTCGAATTCGCAATTCCTCCATGACCTCTGGCTTGTTCTTCTACTTCGACTATTCTCGTTCAGAGCTTCACTCTGTCTCGCTTCACGACCACCCGTATCGCAATCTTCCCACTCTCTCCTTCCTCGACGATGTTGGAGGAGATCATCCATTTTGGATTAGAAGCGCTTGCAACGGTTTAATTTTGTGCCAGAACTATCAAATTGTTTGTAATCGTTATAGAAAAAATTACATTGTTTGTAATCCAACTACCCAGAAATTCACTCTACTTCCTCAACTTGATTCTCTAAGTCTTTTATATGAATCATTGGGTGTTTACTTGGCTTTTGATCCTTCAAAATCACCTCACTACAAAGTTGTTTTCTTTCGGCCCTGTTATCAATTTGATATCTACTCTTCCGAGACTGCGTCTTGGAAACAGATTACTGTCAGTGAATGTGAACCACTACGTGATTGCCTTGAAGGTGTGTTTTGGAATGGGGCAATCCATTGGTTGAGTCACGAGGATGTTCACTTTAGATTTGACGTTGATGAAGAGAAGCTCATAAAAACCCATAATCCTCCAAGTCCTAAAATTCTTTCTGTGGACAAGACTAGGTATTTTGGGGAATGTGGTGGTCATTTGCTTCTTAACACTTGATAAGTCATAAGCTGAACAAGACAATCTGGTCCTTTTAGGGCATTAAGAAGAGAAGCTCAGCTCTCAAAATAATTTTGAATATGGTATATGTTTTTGAGCAAGTGCCCTGTTTGGCGAGTGGGTTTTGAATTTTTTTTTTGACTAAAATTTATAAAATGGTAAATTAAATTAAAATAGTTACTAAGATAAAATGTTATATTAAACAATTTATGAGTTTTTTTAGTTACGTCTCATGTTGTATTTAATTATTATATTTTTTTTTAGTTATAACACATAAACTATAGAATTATACTAATTAATTCATAAGATACTATTATATTTTAATAAATCCAAAATGTGTTTAAAAAAAATGTCTAGAATAATATTTGTAAGACTTACTAAAATACAAAATTATCTTACTTCTCCAAAAAAAATTTCGAACAACACCTTTCAAGCTGTTTCCACTTCACTCCCCCCATACGAACCCTAATTCACTGTAATCACAATTCGTGGATATGCGAAAATGACGAAGAAAGCATACAGCAAAAGAAGAAGAAAGGCGATCATCGGTTCTACTTCGTCGGAAAGCTCACCGGCGGCAGAAGAAGTAATTGCGAGCAATGAAGATCTCCTTACAGAGATTCTCTTACGCCTACCCGCCAAATCCCTGATCCGATTCAAGTCCGTCTCCAAGAATTGGCTCCATCTCATCTCCGATTCTCACTTTGCCGTCAACCACTCTCGTCGAATTCGCAATTCCTCCATGACCTCTGGCTTGTTCTTCTACTTCGACTATTCTCGTTCAGAGCTTCACTCTGTCTCGCTTCACGACCACCCGTATCGCAATCTTCCCACTCTCTCCTTCCTCGACGATGTTGGAGGAGATCATCCATTTTGGATTAGAAGCGCTTGCAACGGTTTAATTTTGTGCCAGAACTATCAAATTGTTTGTAATCGTTATAGAAAAAATTACATTGTTTGTAATCCAACTACCCAGAAATTCACTCTACTTCCTCAACTTGATTGTCTAAGTCTTTCATATGAATCATTGGGTGTTTACTTGGCTTTTGATCCTTCAAAATCACCTCACTACAAAGTTGTTTTCTTTCGATCCTATTATCAAATTGATATCTACTCTTCCGAGACTGCGTCTTGGAAACAGATCACTGTCAGTGAATGTGGACCACTACGTGATTTCCTTGAAGGTGTGTTTTGGAATGGGGCAATCCATTGGTTGAGTCACGAGGATGTTCACTTTAGATTTGACGTTGATGAAGAGAAGCTCATCAAAACCCATAATCCGCCAAGTCCTAAAATTCTTTCTGTGGACAAGACTAGGTATTTTGGGGTATGTGGCAGTCATTTGTTTCTAATTCAGATGCGTTTGCAAAATGCTATGGGATTCAGAATCCTTGAGATGGACAGGGTCTCCTTCCATTGGATTGTGAAGTGCCGCGTCAATCTTAGACCCTTAATTTCTGTATTCCCTGAGATAGACATAGATGACAGAAGAAAAATATACAAATTTCTTGTGCTATGTGTTGTGAAGGGAGTCAATGAAAATGATTTCGCATTGGTGTTAGCTACTGCTGGCAAAGTAGTTTATTATGATCTCAAGTGCAAGACATCAAAGGTGCTTGTAGATAATTTGCCTCTACTTAGCTTTCGTGGATCAATTTTTCATACTTATCCTTATTCTCTTGCTTATCAATTCGTCGAAGGTCTATCCCCTGTATGAGAAATCTAACATGTTGGAGCGGGTATGTTTTTTTTTTCTTTTTTTTCTACAACTTTGTCACACTCATTTCATATAGATGCTTGTTTTAAAACTTAGTATGTTGTTGTTGTTGGTGTTTTTTTTTTTTTTTTTTATTTTTTAATGTGATCATCATCATGGCTCTCTAAGATAATACTTTTGTTCAGAGTTCCATAATGTATGATCTGTGTTCTTCATGTAGATGGTATGCCCCCTTTAGTAAAACACAATCTCATTTTCCCTCTGGTGAGTATTTGTTAGATTGTTGGTCTTTGATGCTACTATCATTATTTTGATGATGCTCACATTGTCTTTTAAACTGGTCTTAGGTACATTGTTGGTCAAGGGCTGACAAGTAATGGATGTTTACACATCTTTCTCTGCCCACTGTACCAGAGCATTCCAATGAATTGCACTTTTGTTTCTTTATATGTGAACCCCTTTTGACTACTTCAAGTATCATTCAGGGGTTTTTTGTTTTTTTTTTTGAACAATAAACTAATTGAAAACACAACTTCACAAAACAACATGGGATTGGAAAATAAGTTAAAACCTACTTAGATTTGGAGATAAGTTTTAGAAGAATGTAGCCCCAGTGAAAAAACTCTCGTTTGTCTGATCGTCAGAGAGGATACATTAATCTCACATTCTTCACAGCTTTGATCTCCTTGTGATGTGGTTGGATGGAATTGTTCTAAATGCGCAATGATTGAATGGAGAAGATAAAAAAAAAGAAATTGAAAAGTATGTTATTCTATTCTTGTTGAATTCTAAAATTGTCACATGTTCACAGTGATCATCTGCAGATTGCAATAACCATTGTAACTATTAGTAATTCCTTTAAAATGGTTAATAACAAGAAGAGAAAGAGAGAGAGAGAGAGTCATAGCTTTCTTCTTTTTGTAATTTGTTAATGTTATTAATGAGGAGAAATCTATGGTGTGCACCTTAAAAGTTGGTAAGAAAGTTCCGATTTTTTGTGGTGAAAGTTGCGAAAAAGTTATGAATGGAGAATCTATGGTGTGCACCTTAAAGTAAAAGTTACGACATGTAAATGTTATGAACCATTTGTGGTGAAAAAAGTTACGAGTTGTGGTTATATTAATAAATTAAAGAAGTTTATGCAAGTCCTTGTTGCTTCACTAGTTCTGATATAAAGTGAATCTCATCAACTACACAAAAGAGGTGTCGGAAGCCAATATTTTTGTTCAGAGCTGTTTAAATGTCATAATACAAAAAATATATATAATAAAATAAAATAAAAACACAGCACCTTTGTTAACATAATTTGATTTAAAAACAAGACATTATCATGTTTTTTGAGTTTGTAAGGTTAAACTTGGTAGCTTTGCTATGTTACTATGAAATCTTTGAATTTGTTCTATTTGGTTGACATCATAGAAACCTAAGCATACACGAGATTTGAATACATAGAAGAATCGAGAATCCATATAACTTTGTGTGCCTAATTTATAGACATGGAAGACCAATTCTTCCTTTCTTCAATTTTCTCATCAGTCGAACAGTATTCAATAAGAGAAATACAAGGTATAAGTTTGTACTCTCTGGTTTGAGCTTATTGAGATAGACCATTGAAATCTTTACCCATCCAAAAATAAATTTCATTGTTGTACACTGGAATTGTCCCATGTCATCATTTAAAGAGCCTAAGAGGGTTATTGATTATAGATCAATAAGTTTCTACTTCTCATTCCCAGATAACATAATGGAGCAATGTTAAAAGAACTTGTGTTGGGAACTTCTATTTTCTAACTTGAGTTTAAGAAAAGCTTGTGTGATCTCTCTAATGTTTTTATTCTAATAATTACATGAAATTTCTTCAACTAAACTGTATAAAGCTTCTTCACCAAGACATTTTTTGGTTTCTGTTGGTAGGGTTTGTTTAATTGATTGTGGTGTTGTAAACTAGGAAAATCTTCAAATGTGTTCTATTTGTCTGTTGAAACAAATATAGATTGAAATTAAATTTATCATCCTTGTACATGCCTGATCCTTGTACATGCTTGGAATGATTGAATAATTTAAAAATAAAAATAAATAACTGAATAATGTGTTGTTTTGTACCCATTCCATGATTTATATGTTTCTTTAGGATAAGTTTGAGAGATTCATTTCAGTTTGAATGCAGAGCTTTCTCCAGTCTTTATCTCTGCTCATTTTCTTCTTGGTCTT